TATTAGTATTCCAACAACAACAACAACTGCAGTAAGAACAAAATCGTCATCTACACTTTCTTAGTAATGTATTGTCTTTTAGTACTGCTGTTGGCAGCTATATTCGCTACTCAGTTCCATACAATGTCACACAGTAAAACCACCACATGCAGTACATGCTACATGCACTTCTTCTTCTGGTTGCAACCGTTGTTTGTATCCCTCCCTTATTCTCATACCTCAAAATATAGGATGATACATATTATTCCACAGATCACATACCAATAATACAAATTTTCATTTAGCCATCAGTGAAATACTGTCATGTGTTGTGTTTTTGGCATTTTTGCATTTGACTGTAAAGCACTTCTGATGTTGTTCGTACTTTATTCCCTATTTAAGCGTTCGCTTACTTATTTACTTAGTTCCTTCTTGGATTTGGGATTTGTTCAAAAATTTTTTTTTTGATTTTTTTTCTTGCTTTTATGCAAAATATTATCAATTCAGTTTTATGTTCGGAAAAAGATATAAAAAGAATTTATAGAAGAGCTTATTGTCGTATTAAGCTTTGGTATTATGAGTTTTTAAAATTAAAAATCCAATTAAATCCTTAAAGGAAGAGAAACTTATGAATTTATATTCTAAATATGTATATATTTTTTCTTCTTCATTTAACAAATTTTTACGATTTATAAACACATAACTTCATAGAAACCTTTAATTATTACAATATTGTTTCCTATTTGAAATTATAAACTTATAATTCTCATACACTATAAAAGCAACATGCATGCATTCAGGATTTACATACTATCACATACACACACACGCACACTCAGTTGTTGACATGCTCCCATTAAATGAAATACAAATTTAATTAAATCTCAACAAACCGCAGCTGATGAGAGTAAATACAATTTAATTGATATAAACATGCCGCAAGCTATTTTATACTCACTTCAGCTCTCTTTAAATACCTGTAACAGTTAAATCATGCTTATAAGCCCTAATAAGTAAAATAAAAAATACGCCATTCTACACACACCAGCTGTTTTTCCCCCCATTTACATACAACCAAGTCAACAAAACATTTTTGACATTGAATTTAAAAACAGGAGCAACAGTGTTAAATGCGCGTAAATGCGTGCGAAATTTCTCCTCTCCCAATATTCAATACACATACACACAACAACAACAACAACAATTTTTGCAATGCTTAACCCCCCAACACTTCACTAAAAGGCTGTAGTACACACCAACAGTAAAGGTGGCCGACCGACCACCGTATGCAATTGACACAATTTTGTAATTTTGTACCCAAATACTGTCCCTCTACATGCGTCCACACTATACATCATCATATTTAAACCTAAATTGTTGTTTTATTGACCGCGAAAATAGACCAAAAGACGTCTTGTCCATATGCAGCCACAAATAAACATGCAAATATGAGCTTACATATACTAAATGTGTGCATGTGTGTGTGTTTATAGCTTGTAACCAACACTGTTGTGTTAATAGTCAAAGCACAGAAGTCGCGAATTTGTTGTTGTTGTTATTGTTGTTGTTGTTAAAGCTTGCACATACTCGTACAACACTTGCTTGCTTGCATTTAATATGTCCAGCAGTTACGTAGCAGTTAAAACAAAAACAAAGCAACAACAACAATAACAATAACAGCTATCATAATAAACGCGCAAATTCGCGCCATCAACACACACAACAAACACAACAGCAAGAGTACAACAATAAAATTGCAACAGTTGCCCGTCAAAGTTAATGACAACGGAGTTTTGCATTTTAACCAAAAATGTTGAGAGCGTGAGTAATAACAAAACAAAACAAAACCAAACAGAAAAAAATTAAAAGCCGCAATGCCTGGCCATAATAGAAATGTTTGTATACATCATACACATGCTTATATACATATGTTTATATACATATAAAATGTGTCTTTGCAAACACCCGCATGCAGAAATAGCAATTTTTTTTTGGAAATGCACAATGTTCTTTTGATTTTTTTGTTTTTTCTTTTTTTTGATATCGCTTTTTAAATTTTTTTGTTTGCTTTTTTTGTGTGTCTGATGCTGTTTGTTATTATTTTTGCTACTGTTGTTTTGTACAAACATTGTATTTGCTTTGCTAAAGGTCATAATATTCATTTGTGTTGCGTATGTGTGTTGCCACACTTTTATTTAATAACACTTATAGGCATTTTACGCGCAATACTGATTATATGTGTTTGACAGGTGGTTTTTTACTTGCAGATTATATACACACATATGAACACATTACTGTCCTTTACTATATTTACTTCCGTACTGTACGGGCACTGTTACATAGGTTTGCTGGAGATATTTAGCGAAATTTCGAATAGGGTGGCACTCGGTGGTGCTATTTTGGTTGCAGTTTTACATAAAAAAAATATTGCAACATATATACGAAGAAATGTCCTTGAACGTCCGTGTCAATGTGGCAGATACTGTTGGCACAGTTATGAAGAGTACAACAAAAAATGTGTTACCAATATCAAATATCAAATGGACAGCTTTATTTTTTACATATATGTCAGCTTAAGTGACACACTTCTTTTAGACATATGGGGTTTGCTACTATTTCAACGTACCAATATTCCTAGGAATGAGGTCAATGCTTTAAAGTTTTGTATTTGAAATTGAAATAATTTCTTACAAACTCTCAATTTTTTATTGTGCAATTTTTTACACTTCATCTCTTTAAAATCTGCTGAACTATAGATTTATAATTTTATATGAAAAAATTCAATACATCAAAGAAACAAAGATTGTAATAGTTACAATAATTTTAGATTAAAAAGGATGAGAATTAAAAAATGTTGGACGAAATCATTCGTTTTTCTATTATACACG